ATAGTTGTACAAATACAAACCACCTGCAAGTTTTCTAAGGTATTGGTTGGATTATTCAAAACAGAATATGTTTTTTTTAGCTTAGTTTCAGGCAGCACAACTTGTTACTTTTGAATACTTACGGCAGAGATTACACAATAATTTCTGTTAGGAATGGCCTTGCGTAATAATGGGAAGAAAAGATCAAACCACCACGACAAAGGGATTCCGCTGGATGGAAGACGTTTCGTCTATGTGCCGCCTTTATTTTGTTTCAGCTTATCTCATGCATATTGAACGTGAGAGAAAATTGACCTTTATGGAAGCCTATGTATAAGGCTCCTTTGAGTTCACTCAGAAGTGAAAGCCTGTAGTCCCTTTAAAGCAACTTTCCTTCTATTGCAAATACTCATAATTATGCCAAATCATAATTTTGAAGAGGATTAAAAGGATTCTTAGGCAGATATGCATCCAGTTTTCTTTGAGATCCCTCAAATTATTTTGAAAATCGTTGTTCTTCAGGATTGAACAACTGTGTTTGTCAGGCAACTGGTAGAGCTAACAAAACTAACATACTGGTTTTAGTAAGCCAGGGTTAGGAGACCTTATTTAGTACTGGAGTGCTATTTCAGCTTCTTCTTTCATAATTTCTTTTCCCTGACAAGACTTAAAAACATTGGTGAACGATAAATAACGTGATAGTACCAGCATTTGTTAAGTTCCACTATTAATTTGGTGTCTTTTTCCTAAAATGAAAACCTTAACATTAGGAATATCATTTGTAAAATTACTGAAATAAAGTAATAAGCTTGTTAAATGGTTGAGCTTGATAATAATTTCCAGGCACATGAACGACAAGAAGAGCATCAGGAGTAGTCAGTATGGATTCACCAAGGGGAAATCATGCTTGACCAACTTGTTAAACTTTATGATGAAATGGCTTGGCAGGGTCAGGGAGAGAGCAGTGGTTATTGTCTACCTAGACTTCAGTAAGGCTTTCGACATTCTCTGATAACATTAGAGAAGCTGTTGATGTATGGGCTGGATGTGCAGACAGTGAGGTGAATGGCCGGGCCCAGAGGGTGGTGATCAGTGCCGCAAAGTCTAGTTGGAGGCCAGTAACTAGTGGTGTATCCCAGGGGTCAATACTGGGTCTGATCCTGTGCAACATCTTCATTAATGATCTGCACAATGGGGCAGAGCGTACCTTCAGCAAGTATGCAGATGACATGAAACCGGGAGGAGTGGCTGATATACCAGAGGGTTGTGCTG